TTTGGACAAATGCCATTTGCGACCAAGCACGCAGCTTCATGCGAGCTTGCTCCAAGGCGAATACGTGCTCGAAGCGATCTCGTAAGGTTGCGCCCTGTCAGAATGTTATTATCTAGCCTGTAGTGGGGTGCTCTATAGCGAGTACAACCCTGTTAGGGTTTGTGTGAAGAAATGAGGAATGAAGAAGAGAGGGGGTTCACTAGCAAACATTGGGATACATATAGTAAACCCTAAAAGGGTTGTACTCACTATAGAGTACCCCACTGCAGACTAGAGAAACATGATATTCTGACAGTTTGCTATATGTATCCCAACTGCTGCTAGTGAAACCTCCCTTTGTTCTTTTCTCTCTTGCCTAGCTAGCTAAACCCTAGCTATGGCTCCTCACTCTACCTACGATTCTCACATGCTATCAAAGCATCTATGCTCCTAACCTGTGGGCCCACCTAACTGCTTCCGCTGCTACTCTGTCTGTTGCACGCCCCGTGGCGTGCGACTCCTCCTTCCTGCTGTGCGCTCGGGGCGCGCGGCGGTTTTCTGCCTGCCGTGTGCCCCGAGGCGCGCGGCGGTTTCCTTCCTTGGGGATCCGCGCGCGGCCCCTGCCCTGCTCGTCGCGGCGCCCTAGGGAGCACGTGCGGCCCCCGCCCTGCTCGTCGCGGCGCCCTGGGGAGCACGCGCGGCCCCCGCCTTGCTCGTCGCGGCGCCCTGGGGAGCACGCGCGGCCCCCGCCCCTCACGTCGCGGCGCCCTGGGGAGCCGCGCGCGGCCCCTCGCTGCCCCGTGGTGGCGCCCTAGGGGCCGCGCGCCACCCCTGGAGCCGCGCGCGGCCCCTCGCTGCCCCGTGGTGGCGCCCTGGGGGCCGCGCGCCGTCCCCCTCGCCGTCCCCCGCGCTCCTACCCCGTGCCACCCGTTTTAGGGTTTAGGGGTGGGGAGTGTGGGGGTGACGGTTGTGGGGGTGCCGGTTGTGTGCGCCGTCCCCTGTTTCTCCTCCTCCTCCTCCGTCTCCCGCTGCTGCAGCTGCTGCTCAGGGGGGTGGGTGTGTGGGAGCCAAAGGAGTGGTGCTAGGGGGGTGACGTGGGAGTGGAGTTAGGGGTTCAGCAGGGGGTGTGTGTCAAGGGTGTGGGTCAGTTGGAGGAGGTTGTGTGGAGGTAGCTGTCATGTCGCCTGCAGCGCCTGTAGTCCGTCGCCCTTGCTTCGGTAGCCAGTGAGCCTGTTGCACTAGTCGCCAGTGGGTCCGTTGCTCCTGCCGCTCGTCTATAGCCGCGGAGCCAGTCACTCCAGTAGTCCGTCGCCCTTGCCTCGGTAGCCACTGAGTCAGCCGCTCCTGTGCCCGTGCCTCTGCAGCTTCAGTCGTTGCCTCCCATCTTTTCTCCGTCCACAGTACTCTCCTCCTCCTCACTTGCCCTCTGTGATAGCCTCTAGCTTTGCTTGCCATTGTGAACCTGCTTTATGACTGTGTGCTCTGCTGATTACACCCCACTTTGGCTATGGGGGTGTGTCAGAATGTTATTATCTAGCCTATAGTGGGGTGCTCTATAGCGAGTACAACCCTGTTAGGGTTTGCTATATGTATCCCAACTGCTGCTAGTAAAACCTCCCTTTGTTCTTTTCTCTCTTGCCTAGCTAGCTAAACCCTAGCTATGGCTCCTCACTCTACCTACGATTCTCGCACGCCCCACTCCTTCCACGTGCTTATCTTGGTCACTCCGAAGATTGGTTCTGCCATATGATTAGCCAATGTTGAGGTCACGTCTGCCACATGTGTCACACATGTCGGGGTCCCCGTGTCCAAGGTTCGGCGCTACGACTCAAGCGTTGTGCGTCGAAGAAGAGAGACCGCGTAATTCATACGCGTGGCATTGTCGCTGACGTTCGCTGCAATGAAGAAGGCTTCAACGCCGAAGAGCCACACCTTCACTGTAGTGTTCTTGTTCGTCGGAATGAATGGGGGCGGGCTCGCATGTTTAATCTTGATCGTCGTTACTGCAATTGGCGTCGCTGCTGCTCGCTACCAATCTTCTTCTTAGTCACGTGTGAGCGTATCTAACGGGTTGCTCATCGCTTGAATGTTGCCCCCGCCTTCTTCATCGAGCGACTCTTGACGCGCTTCACCTCGCGTCTGGTGTAGTTCGGTGTTTTCCGCACGTAATGCTGTCACTTATGCCGAGAGATTCTGCACTGTTGCCTCTCGCTCTTGCATTTGCACCAACATCTTGTTCAATGTTTCTTGGTCCATGAGTCGCACGCTTCGTCTGGTGGGCAGAGGGGTATCTGTGGTCTTCAGACAAGAAGAAAGCAAAAACTATCGGAGTCGGGCAGGTTAGAGTTAAGCAGCCAACTGTTTTGCAGTCCACTGTACCAGCCACACCCGTGCCACCAAATTACCTTCGAAAAGCGAGGTGAACTAGGAAAGTAGCTCTGATACCAGGTGTAATGAGTTGTAAAAGGGAGTGCGCAGGATAACGAATAACGAAGGTGTGACTTAATGAACTGACAATATAATGAAGGCACGCGACTATATAGTGGCTACCCTAGCTAGGAGGGAACCTCGAGAAATAAGGTTGGGTGCAGGTTTGGCGATCAGAAAGCCGAAGACGACGCGAGGAGCCTCGGCATCGTAGATGTCGGCCGAACGTGCAAGTCCGAAAATCGGGGTTGTACACATAGCAGTCAAGCCCGATAAGGAATAATAAAACAATCTTTACACTAAGCGTCTACCGCGTCCGGAATTTGAGTACTGCATGATGCGGACTGGACTCGACCACTTTAACACTGACAACATCGAACTCCACAATTGAAGGGGAGTGTTGGACGAAGAAATTTGACTTATGCAATTAAGCAGTTCGATAATATAAAACGACAAATAATAATGTCATCGCCTGGATATAAGACACATATGTCTTATCTCGTACACTAGAAAAAAATGCTTGGGTTATCTTGTATTTGGGGAGGTTTTGGGTGTATTACAAGTCTTATAAATGGACAAAGAACCATTTAGAAGATACCCCCTTGTTATACAATTGCCCTTAACCCTCACACTGGCTCAACTTGTAGACACAATACTGTAGGTGTCTTATAATGAGGCTAGCATGTTTATAAGAGACACACGGATAATAGACAACCCCTGTCTACTATTCAACACTGTCTACTATGACAGTATCATTGTACGGTATTGCGATATGAGTACATGTTACTGTAGCAAGTGTCCCTTCGCGTGAGTTACAGGTAGTAGTGCTAACAGTCTCGCAATTGTTCGCATGACACGGGATAATACCGATTCATAGAGTCGACAGTCGACTCGATATTTAGCCCACTTCATGAAAAAGTACATCGCTGAATTGTCAGAATGTGTTATTTGTCTAGTCTGCAGTGGGGTACTCTATAGTGAGTACAGCCCAACTAGGGTTTGCTATATGTATCTCATTGCTTGCTAGTGAAAGCCCCTTCTTTTGCTGTTCTCATTCTTGCTTTCCTTTAGACAAGAACCTAGGCTTGGGTTTCTCCTAAGCCTAGGTATGTCTACTATTTCTGACATGCTATCAGAGCGTCTACGCTCCTGGCCTGTGGGCCCACCTGCTTCCGCTGTTGTACTCTGTGTCGCGCGCCCCGCGGCGCGCGACGTTTTTTCTTCCCGCCACGCGCTCCTGCCCTCCATGCGCTTGGGGCGCGTGGTGGTTTCCTACCCGCCGCGCACCTTGGGCGCGCGCGGCGGTTTCGTCGTCCGTCGCGGTGCCCCCAGGGACCCGTGCACGGCTCCCCGTCGCCCTTCGCGGCGTCCCCGTCGACCCGCGCGCCCCCCCTTCCGTCGTCCGTCGCGGCGCCCCCCGGGACCAACGCGCGGCTCCCCGTCGCCCTTCGCGGCGCCCCCGTCGACCCGCGCGCCGCCCCCGGGGACCTTCGCGGCCGCCCCCGTCGACCCGCGTGCCGCCCCCGGGGACCCGCACGCAGCCTCCCCCCCCCTTCTCCTTCGCCTCCCTGCTGCGCGTGCAGCCGTGGGGTGGCGGGTATGGGGGTGGCTGGTATGGGGGTGGCGGGTGTGTGAGCCGTACCCTGCTCCTCCTCCTCCTCCGTCTCCCACTGCTGCAGCTGCCGCTGAGGGGGGTGGATGTGTGGGAGTCGTGGGAGTGGCGCTAGGGGGGTGCCGTGGGATTGGAGCTAGGGGTGCATAGGGGGGTGTGTGAAAGGGGTGTGGGACAGTTGGGGGAGGTTGAACGGAGGTAGCCGCCGTGACGTCAGCAGCGCCAGTAGTCCGGGGGTCACCCTTGCTCCGGTAGCCCAGCGAGCCTGCTGCGCCAGTCGCCCGTGGGTCTGTTGCTCCAGCCGCTCGTTTTAGCCGCGGAGCCAGTGACTCCAGTAGTCCGGATACCCTTGCTTGTGCCCGGTAGCCCGTGAGCGCCGCTCCTGTTGCCCGTGTGTCTGCGGCTTCACCCGTCGCCTCCTATCTCCACTCCTCTTATAGTCCCTCCTCCCCCTCACTTGCCCTCTGTGACTGCCTCTAGTTTTGCTTGTGCTTGTGAACTTCTTACGTATGCGACTGCTTGCTGTGCTGATCATACCCCACTTTGCATTTAGGGATGTGTCAGAATGTGTTGTTTATCTAGCCTGCAGTGGGGTACTCTATAGTGAGTACGGCCCAATTAGGGTTTGCTATATATATCCCATTGCTTGCTAGTGAAAGCCCCTTTTGCTGTTCTCATTCTTGCTTTCCTCTAGACAAAAACCTAGGCTAGGGTTTCTCCTAAGCCTAGGTATGTCTACTATTTCTGACATGAATAGTTACTTTCCTAGACTATAAATCTTTGCCTGTTAGCATCATTAAGAAACAGTGAGACACCGAACGGGTAACAGGACCAGGGCTGTTGACGGGGCAGTGTCATTGGTCATTGGTCAGGCACTTGTGTGAGAAAGTTCTTCTTCACCTGCAGTCATGGGACCGAGCAGTGGGGAGAGCGATTCCGGCACACGGCAAGCAGCAAGCACGCAAGCACGCACAGCCATCCATTAGCCACAGGAGGGGGGTCCGTGGCACAGGAAGGGGGTCCGTGGCACAGGAGGGGGGTCCGTGGCACAGGAGGGGGGTCCGTGGCACAGGAGGGGGGTCCGTGGCACAGGAGGGGGGTCCGTGGCACAGGAGGGGGGTCCGTGGCACAGGAGGGGGGTCCGTGGCACAGGAGGGGGGTCCGTGGCACAGGAGGGGGGTCCGTGGCACAGGAGGGGGGTCCGTGGCACAGGAGGGGGGTCCGTGGCACAGGAGGGGGGTCCGTGGCACAGGAGGGGGGTCCGTGGCACAGGAGGGGGGTCCGTGGCACAGGAGGGGGGTCCGTGGCACAGGAGGGGGGTCCGTGGCACAGGAGGGGGGTCCGTGGCACAGGAGGGGGGTCCGTGGCACAGGAGGGGGGTCCGTGGCACGGGCGGCTACGAGCATAAGCGGGACAGATGGGCGCATGAGTGCCGGACAAAAGCACTTCAACAGAACGTGGCTAGAGTGAAAGCAGACTGCATGTGAGTGAGGAGTTTCGAGAGGATGTGACTAGAGTGAGCGTGAGCAGTGTGACAAGGAGCGCAGAGAATGTGTGGTGCATGGAGAGGAGGGCAGCGAATGTGTGGTGCATGGAGAGGAGGGCAGCGAATGTGTGGTGCATGGAGAGGAGGGCAGCGAATGTGTGGTGCATGGAGAGGAGGGCAGCGAATGTGTGGTGCATGGAGCGGAGGGCAGCGCGGGTGAGTGGAGGGCGGGGAGCACCTGCTCGAGCGTGAGGAACATGATGACATTCCAGGAGCCCAGGCGGCCGAAGTTGGGGATGAAGCCCTTGTAGAACGCCATCACGCCCTGGGGGGAGGGGGAGGGGGGGGAAGGGAGGAGGGGAGGGGAAGGGGGGGAGGGAGTTGTGAGGGGAGAGGGGAGAGGATGTGGCAAGAGAGTGCAGCATACCGTTGGCATTGGAGAGTGCTGCACGTGCTACAGCCTGCACGTGCTACAGCCTGCACGTGCTACAGCCTGCACGTGCTACAACCTGCATGGACTTGTGCGGTTGAGACAGCTGGAGTCTCGCAGGCGCAGCTCCCCTGAGCCGGCGGACGCGCTGTGATCCATGCGGACGCGCTGTGATCCATGCGGACGCGCTGTGATCCATGCGGACGCGCTGTGATCCATGCGGACGCGCTGTGATCCATGCGGACGCGCTGTGATCCATGCGGACGCGCTGTGATCCATGCGGACGCGCTGTGATCCATGCGGACGCGCTGTGATCCATGCGGATGCGCTATGATCCATGCGGACGCGCTGTGATCCATGCGGACGCGCTGTGATCCATGCGGACGCGCTGTGATCCATGCGGACGCGCTGTGATCCATGCAGACGCGCTGTGATCCATGCGGACGCGCTGTTATCCATGCGGACGCGCTGTTATCCATGCGGACGCGCTGTTATCCATGCGGACGCGCTGTTATCCATGCGGACGCGCTGTTATCCATACGGACGCGCTGTTATCCATGCGGACGCGCTGTTATCCATGCGGACGCGCTGTTATCCATGCGGACGCGCTGTTATCCATGCGGACGCGCTGTTATCCATGCGGACGCGCTGTTACCCATGCGGATCTCTTTGCTCACCACTCTGGTGCCTCTCAGCCTGCCTCCACTCTTGAGTGGCAGCCACGACCATGGACGCCCACAGCTCTACACATGCGCTTGAGAGAAGCTGTACAAGGACACAAGGTACGCCATCAGCTCCCAACACCCACGCGCGACCATGGCATGGGGCGGGCGGCAAGATATGCGGCAGGCAGGAGCAGCAAGCAGTTAGACAGCGAAGGCACCTAGGCAGGGCACTTCCCATGCAGCGTTGACACGTGCGCATGCCCCTTCCATCACGCCACTCTGCTCCCAGCGCCCCTGGCTGGCGGACAGAGGCGCCAGGCAGCCCTTGGGCGCGCCCAGCCACCCTCGTACCACACGGCGTCACTGCCCCGCCCACACTGGGTGGTGGCACTGCTGCACGCTCACCTGGTGGCACTGCTGCACGCTCACCTGGTGGCACTGCTGCACGCTCACCTGGTGGCACTGCTGCACGCTCACCTGGTGCGCGCTCACCTGGTGCGCGCTTGTACTCAAGTTTCATGAGCACATGGATGGAGCAGTTGGATGAGGGAGAGATCATGGCAACCAGAGAAGCTGTACTGGGCAGCACGGGCGGCAGCACTGGAGCAAGGCAAGCGACACAACTCCCATGCACCCAATCGGACTAGATAGCTGAGAGAAGCAGGGGCAGCAGGTGTGAGGCACGCACGTCGTTGCGGAAGGTCTTGACGAAGCAGTCGAGGGTGCCCTTGTACTGCCCGCTGCTGTCGCCCATCACCCTCGACTTCACCTGCCCGCCCGGGAGAGACGGAGGGCGGCAGGACGGAGGGAGGCGGGGCAGTGGGGAGCGCAAAGGGTTGGGTGTGGGAGAGGGATGCGAACGGTTGAGAAGAGCAGCGGCCCCTGGCACTGCCACGTGCTCTCACCGTGCCTGCACCTGGTAGGCCGGCGGCACCAGAGGCAGGGTAGGGGTGGTAGAGAGCACGATGACAGGGGCGAAGAAGAGAGGCAAGAGTGCGCAGTGCGATGCATGGGCAACGCTGTGAGACGGAAAGCCGGGACTCGGGAGTTGGAAAATGAGGGGTAGGTGAAGGCAGGGGCGCGGAATGTGTGGGGGGGGGGGGAGGGGGAGAGGGGGTGAGGGTTTGTGGGGAAGGGGGTGGGTAGTGTGGTGAAAGGGGGGCGGAGCATAGGGAATGGGAGAGGAGAGAGGGGAAGGGGGAACGGAGGGGGAACGGGCGGCACGCACCACATCGACGGGCGAGCCAATGCAGACGGCGAAGAAGCCGGCGCCGAGCCCAGCGATGAGGTGCGTCCCCACGTTGTCCCCGAAGCCCGGCACCTTGAGCAGCGACTGGGGAGGGTATGGCAGGTGAGGGCAGGGCAAGAGGGGGGCGGCAGAGAGGGAGAGAGATGAGAAAGATTTTGAAGCAATCGGCGCACGTGAACAGCAGCGCAGCACACCTGTGAGCAGGGCAGCACTGCCTAGCCTACCTGCTTGATCTGCGCGCATCATGTGTTACGTACAATGCATGAGGCAGGACAGCACCTCCTCACCTGCTTGATCTGGTCGTAGCTGGCGAGCTCACCTGCTTGATCTGGTCGTAGCTGGCGAGCTCACCTGCTTGATCTGGTCGTAGCTGGCGAGCTCACCTGCTTGATCTGGTCGTAGCTGGCGAGCTCACCTGCTTGATCTGGTCGTAGCTGGCGAGCTCAGCGGCGTTGATGAGGGCGTTGCGTGCGATGTTGGGCCCCACACCCGTCCACAGCGCTGCCACGCCCTCCTGCCATGCCGTGCCACGTTAGCAGCAGTCACAGTCAACGTTGAAGGTTCATGATTGGCTTTCAATGTTGTGTGCTGAAGAGATCCGTGTCCTATAATGCCGCCAAGATACTGCCATTCAGGTTAACTGGTTAAAATTGTTGAGATTCTGTGTTTCAGTTCAGGGTTGAAAAACAGGAAGACAAACAACAACTGTATGCTGAAAGAATGCAACGAGGGAAGAGTAGAGAAGGGACGATCTCGAGGGCCGCACATGCGGGGGAAGAGTGGAGACAGAATGAGGGATGCCCCCCCTTGCTCCCTCCAACACACCACCTCCCATCCCCCTCCACTCCTCCTGTCCCTCCCACACTCCACCTGGCATCCCTCCCACACTCCACCTCTCCCACACTCCACCTGCCATCCCTGCAACACGCCACGTCGCATGTGTCCTAGGCGGGGTGGCAGCAGACCTGGCGGGCGATGGTGGCGTAGGCGTTGAGGGCGCCCGAGTAGCGCTTGGGCATGCCGGGCGGCAGGCGCCCCTCGGACTGCAGCCGCACCTTCACCAGATCCGTGGGGTTGGCGATCGCTATTCCCACCGCCCCTGTGCATGGCGCATGGGGCATGGTGCATCGTGCATGGGGCATGGTGCATCGTGCATGGGGCATGGTGCATCGTGCATGGGGCATGGTGCATGGGGCATGGCGTATGGTGCATGGGGCATGGTGCATGGGGCATGGTGCATGGGGCATGGGGCATGGTGCATGGGGCATGGGGCATGGGGCATGGTGCATGGGGCATGGTGCATGGGGCATGGTGCATGGGGCATGGTGCAGGGGGCATGGGGCATGGGGCATGGTGAGGAAAGAGTGAGGGTGCTTGAAAGAAGGCGGTTTCTGGGTTAGAATGCTAAGAGACACGAGAATTATATGCAAGCACAAGCAATGGACGAGCAGAGTTTACGAGGGTGGGAGGAGGGCAGCAGGGGAGGTAGGAGAGAGCAGGGGACACGGCACCTGTGGTGAGGGCAGCACCTGTGGTGAGGGCGGCAGCGATCTTCATGGTGAGAGGCACGTCGCCCGTGTGGTCCTTGCCCACGAACAGCGCCTTCACCTGTGCGCCCACGGAGGCAGAGGGCACAGGAGCAGCGAGGAGCGCAGACAGTTGAGTGTTGAGCGCAGGGGCGGTGCTCAACGCATCACAGCGCACCATTCTGTGGCCTGCCGACGCCGGCAGCTCGCCCGTGCGGCTCGCATCCATAGAGGGCGCATAGAAGCTCACGGGGTGGTAGAGGGCGCATGGAGGCTCACGGGGTGGTAGAGGGCGCATGGAGGCTCACGGGGTGGTAGAGGGCGCATGGAGGCTCACGGGGTGGTAGAGGGCGCATGGAGGCTCACGGGGTGGTAGAGGGCGCATGGAGGCTCACGGGGTGGTAGAGGGCGCATGGAGGCTCACGGGGTGGTAGAGGGCGCATGGAGGCTCATGGGGTGGTAGAGGGCGCATGGAGGCTCACGGGGTGGTAGAGGGCGCATGGAGGCTCACGGGGTGGTAGAGGGCGCATGGAGGCTCACGGGGTCGTAGAGGGCGCATGGAGGCTCACGGGGTGGTAGAGGGCGCATGGAGGCTCACGGGGTCGTAGAGGCCGATGCGCAGGCCGCCATAGACGCACTGGCGGTGCAGCCCCGGCACGAGCCCCTTCCACAGCGCCGACAGCCCCTCCTCGCGCGCGATGGTCCCCATCGTCCCCACCATCCCGCGGTACTTCACTGCGCCGATCGCCCCGCCCGCCCCCCCAGACGGCTTGCCCTGCAGCTGCAGGCGCACCTTGGCCGTGTCGATGGGCAGCGTGCAGAACTGCGCGCAGAGCGGGGGGAGAATGGCGGAGAGAGGGGAGGACAGCGAGGGGGGGTGGGGGGTAATGGGGCCCTCGTGGCTACTGCCGACCCGAGACGCGCTTCGTCTCAAAACAAGGCACGGGCGGGGAGGGAAAGCGGCGCGACGGGAATAGAGACGAGCACACAGGGAGCTTGCGATGCGGGCGGAGGGAGGCAGAGCGGCTAGGGACGCCGCAGATCTCACCTCGGCGAAGCACGCCGACATGGCGCTGCTAGCGAGGATGCCATAAACGGGTACGTACATCCGCTTCCCGTCCACCACCACCTCCCCGCTGCCGCCTCCTCCCCCCATCCCGCGCGATCGCGATCCACACGGCCGCCACACGCCGGTCGGCAGGGGAACAGCTGATCGCACGCGATGGCACGCGCGGGGGAGAGCGAATGTGGAATCGAGACGGCGCGAGCACGCAGGCAGCACGGCTCCGATGGAACTCGTCGCAGCGTGCGGTGCGGCGCGTTGCGGACGACGACCGATCGATAAGAAATGGCGCAGCGAGCTCGCCGTGCTGTCCGCAACAGCTGAGTGACAGCAGGCCTAGGGGCTTTCGCAAGACCTAGGTTCAGCAGATTCGGAGCGTGCAAGGAAGGCTGGCGCCGTGCTCGTGTGGCGAAAAGATTTGGTGGTGGCGGCGAGGTGTGGCACGGAATGGAGTGGAGAGGCGAATGTGTGTGTGGTCGGAGTGGCAGGACCTAGGCTTGGTTGGAGCAGAGACTCGTTACATGGGCATGGAGGAGAATAGGCAGCGAGGAATATCGAAGGCAGGAATATCGAGGTGCGCTTGGCGGGGCACGAGGAGCTCTCGATTGTGTCACCTTGGGCGCACACTGGACTGCCAGGCTGGACTGAAAGCATGCCCTCCCGTCCGGTGAGGCGGTTCTTGATTGGTCGCGGCGTCCCAGGTTTGTGGGCTCCACGAAGTTGGGGAATGAAAAAGCCTTTTGTACAGAGCGACTTCTGGCCTCGCTTGCAATTGTAAAAAGGGACAGCATAACACAGGAGATTACCTAATGTACATCCTGAACTACTGCTCAGTGAACTATCACCTTTCCAAGGCTCCTGCTTTCTTTAGAATCAGTTGTAGTAGAAAATGGCTTGCATTACGTGGCCTTGATCTCGTGCAATGTCAGTCGTCAGCGCCAGGGCTCGATAATCGGTACTGCCACGTGCGGCGCTGCCGCACCACGAGCTGCCAGAAGCCCTTCTCCCACGGGCCCTCCGCTCTCCACCCCTCCCCTCCCTCCGCTGCGCCTCCCTGCCCACCCTGCCCATGCTGGCCCACCAGCATGGACCGACAGCTGCGCACGGCACCACTCTTCACCGCGCTGCTGACCACCAAAGAGGCCTCACCACTCTCGCACCTCGACCCACCTTCCGTTGCATGCCATGCGTGCTCGTGTGAAAGCCCACCCCCCATGCCCACCACCTCCATCGTCCCCTTCACAGCCCTGTCCTCCCTCACAGCCCTGTCCTCCCTCACAGCCCTGTCCTCCCTCACAGCCCTGTCCTCCCTCACAGCCCTGTCCTCCCTCACAGCCCTGTCCTCCCTCACAGCCCTGTCCTCCCTCACAGCCCTGTCCTCCCTCACAGCCCTGTCCTCCCTCACAGCCCTGTCCTCCCTCACAGCCCTGTCCTCCCTCACAGCCCTGTCCTCCCTCACAGCCCTGTCCTCCCTCACAGCCCTGTCCTCCCTCACAGCCCTGTCCTCCCTCACAGCCCTGTCCTCCCTCACAGCCCTGTCCTCCCTCACAGCCCTGTCCTCCCTCACAGCCCTGTCCTCCCTCACAGCCCTGTCCTCCCTCACAGCCCTGTCCTCCCTCACAGCCCTGTCCTCCCTCACAGCCCTGTCCTCCCTCACAGCCCTGTCCTCCCTCACAGCCCATGGACCGCAGCTCCCTCCGCTCACCTCCACCAGCCGCCTCTGCTTCACCGGACTCACGCCTGCTGCTGCTGCAGCTGCTGCCGCCATGCCCACATCTACCCGCCCCTCATCCTCTGCCTTCCTCTTCTCTCCCCTCACTGCCAGCGCCATGCCCCCCTGCTCCCCTCTTGCCAACAAGTGCCCTACCTCTCGCCTGCCCCGTCTGCTCCTCCGCCCCTTGCTCTCCCACGCCCAGCGCCACTCGTCACTGCTGCTCTTCTCACTGCCACTGCTGCCACCACCGCCACGAGTGGCAGCAGGGCTGCGATGAGCACGAGGCGGGGGAGCAGCAGTGCCACCAGCACCGCCCGCCCACGGGCCCCCCTGAGCGGAGCGGCTCTTCTTCCTCCGCCGCCCGCCATCCCACACCATCCACAGCTGCCGCCGCCGCCGCCTGCTCGCCCCTCCGCTCCACCGCTGCTGCCCCTCCTGCTGCCCCTCCTGCTGCCCCTCCTGCTGTCCCTCCTGCTGCCCCTCCTGCTGCCCCTCCTGCTGCCCCTCCTGCTGCCCCTCCTGCTGTCCCTCCTGCTGTCCCTCCTGCTGCCCCTCCTGCTGCCCCTCCTGCTGTCCCTCCTGTTGCCCCTCCTGCTGCCCCTCCTGCTGCCCCTCCTGCTGCCCCTCCTGCTGCCTCTCCTGCTGCCCCTCCTGCTGCCCCTCCTGCTGCCCCTCCTGCTGCCCCTCCTGCTGCCCCTCCTGCTGCCCCTCCTGCTGCCCCTCCTGCTGCCCCTCCTGCTGCCCCTCCTGCTGCCCCTCCTGTTGCCCCTCCTGCTGCCCCTCCTGCTGCCCCTCCTGCTGCCCCTCCTGCTGCCCCTCCTGCTGCCCCTCCTGCTGCCCCTCCTGCTGCCCTCCTGCTGTCCCTCCTGTTGCCCCTCCTGCTGCCCCTCCTGCTGCCCCTCCTGTTGCCCCTCCTGCTGCCCCTCCTGCTGCCCCTCCTGCTGCCCCTCCTGCTGTCCCTCCTGTTGCCCCTCCTGCTGCCCCTCCTGCTGCCCCTCCTGTTGCCCCTCCTGCTGCACCACCACCCTTCCCAGCGTCCTTGCTGCCCCACCCAGGGGGGTCTCAGCACCCTCTCCTCGCACACCATACGCACCACCACTACCCGCATCAGTGTCGCCATCAGCATGAGCATGAGCATGAGTGCGTGCAGAAGCAATGGCATCAGGAGGTGCAAATTGTTGGCGATGGCCTCGTAGCGCATACCCCTCTCTATCACCTCGTAGCGCATACCCCTCTCTATCATCTCGTAGCGCATACCCCTCTCTATCACCTCGTAGCGCACACCCCTCTCTATCACCTCCTTCCGCTGCACCTGCTGCTGTTGCTGCCGCCTCACCTGATGCATCACATGGTGGGCACGCCGCCTCACTCGCTCTCTCACCACACGCACTCGCTCTCTCACCACACGCACTCGCTTCGCCATGGCACTCTCCGCTTCCTCCGTCTGCCCGCCACACTCCATTGCACTCACCGCCACCCCCCTCACACTCACCCGCCTGTTCACCACTGCCCGCTCGCACTGCCCCTTGCACGCCCTCCCCTTCCTCCTCATTCCCCACCTCGCATCCATCCCCTTGCTCCTTCGCTCCTCCCTCTCTCCCTTTCTCCGTTCCTCCCTCGCTCCATTCATCCATACCTTTGCCCTCATCTCCTCCTATTCTTACCCTCCATCTTTCCTTCCCTCTTCCTTCCTCTACTTCCTCCCCTCCTTCCTCCTTTCCTCCCTCCTCTTTCCCCTCCATTTTCCCGTCCCCAATTTCCTCCATTCCTTCTTCCCCTGCTCCCGCCTCTCCTGCCTCCCTTCTTCTCTCCCCACTTTCCTCCCTTCTTCCTTCCTCTCCTACCTGATCTCTTTCCTCCTTTCCTGTCCCCCGTATTCCCTCCCTATTCTGCTCCCCTCTTTCCTCCTTCAATCCCTCCCCTCCCTCCTCCTCTCCTCCCTCCTCTCTTCCCTCCTTTTGCTCCTCCCCTCTTTCCCCCACTGCCTCCCACCCTCCTACCTCTGCTGTTTCCTTCCTTTTGCCCTCCACTCCTCCCCAGCGTCCGTCCCTCTCCGCCATCTCACACCGCGTCATGTCCGGCTCCACCCTTGTCCCTGCCCACGCCACCATTGCATCACCCCCCTCCGCCACCATCGCATCACCCCCCTCCGCCACCCCTGCCAGCGCAGCCCCCTCGCTGCTGCCCTCCACCCGGTCCCCATTGCACCCACCCCGCCCCCTGCTGCTGCTGCTGCATCGCATTCCCATCCCCCCACAGCACCCCTCTTCACCCATTCTTTGCCCGCCACTGCACGCCATCTGCTCAACTACTGGACCACCTTGGCCCCGCTCCTCCACCCTCGCGCTCTCTGCACCCGGCTGCCATCGCTGCCCCCCTGCACCGCCTACCTCGCCCGCACTGCTCCCCACCTGCCCGCCTCCACGTGCCACTGTGATGCCTTGTGGTGCCACTGTGATGCCTCCACGTGCCACTGTGATGCCTTGTGGTGCCACTGTGATGCCTCCACGTGCCACTGTGATGCCTTGTGGTGCCACTGTGATGCCTCCACGTGCCACTGTGATGCCTTGTGGTGCCACTGTGATGCCTCCACGTGCCACTGTGATGCCTTGTGGTGCCACTGTGATGCCTCCACGTGCCACTGTGATGCCTTGTGGTGCCACTGTGATGCCTCCACGTGCCACTGTGATGCCTTGCCCTTCTCCTCGTGGTGCTGCTGGGCCATCCCACGGCGCGCCCACGCGGCCATGAGCGGCCACCACAGGGACGCACTCACGCGCCACAGCACCATGGGAACGGCTGGGGAGGAGCAGGGCGCGGGGCAAGCACAGGGGGGTTGGCGGGGGGTGGGGCATGGCCGGGGGGGGCAGGAGAGGAGGCGAGGGGGGTGGGGGAGGAGCGGGCAGCAGCAGCACGTCCAGCGCTGTCATGTGGGCGCGCTGCCCCACCTGCGCCCTCGCCTCCGCACCCGCACTCTCCTGCACACCGCATGGTGCCCACAGTGCCGCGGGATGGGCGTGGGGGGGAGCAGGAGGCGGCAGGGCAGGGGGAGGGGTGGCGGCAGGGCGGTGCAGTGCGGGGTGGGTGGCAGCACGCCCCTGTGGGGGAGGCCGCCCCTCTGCTGCTGGTGCCGCGTGCTCACCACGCATGGCGCTCCCTACTGCCACCTGTATGGCTGCAAGCTGCTCGGCGTGCACACGCATCACTTCCATCTGCTGCTTCCACTCGCGAGGTCGGGTAGGGTGGGGCAGTGGCGGGTGTGGCAAGGAGCATGGCGCATGGCAGGGGGCACGGCCGTGATCGTTGCTGCCACGCTCTCCCTGCTTGCACCCACCGTTGCCGCATGGCATCTCAGCAGCACCATCAGCTACAGCCCCATCAGCTACAGCACCATCAGCTACAGCACATTCACTTGCACCACACCCTGCTTCCTCGCCCTCGCCTGTGCCACACCATGTATTGCCACCACATGCCACGTCACCACATGCCACGTCACCAAATGCCATATCATTGCATGGCTTTTCGTCAAGCTCACCACCACAATGCCTGCCATCTCTGCACCCCTCGCCACCGCTCTCAACCACTGCACCCATTCCTCCCACAGTACGCCCTCCTGCGTCCTCCACCTCTCCATTGTTCATGCCCGCCCCCCGCCCTCCGCCCCCCCCACCCTTTCTCACCCACTGCTCCCTGTCAACGTTCCCTCCGAACCCCTCCAGGTCATGCTCGTTAGAGAGTGATTCGATATCAGCCACGTCCTCATCCCACCGCGCCGGTGCCGCTGCTCCCAGCGCTGCCAGCACGCCTGCTGCTGCGGCTGCGCGCCCTGTCATCGGGTGCTCTTGCAGCGTGCATACAGTGCGGTCCGGTGCGGTGGGGGTGGCAGAGAGCACAGTGTGCAGGCGCAGGGCGAGGCGGTGGAGGGCGGGCGTGTGGCGGCGCAGCGAGATGATGCGCAGGGGGCCACAGCGACAGGCGCGGTTGATGCTGGCTGGGCGGTTGGGGTAGCGTGGGTTGACAGGGGAGGGGATGGGGAGAGATGGAGGAGGAATAAGAGACGGTGAGACGTGGGCAGGCAGCGGTACGGGTGAGACGAGGGACGAGAAGACAAGAGTTGCAGGAAGTGGCAGTGGTGTTGAAGAACAATGAGAGCGAGGGGAGATGCATCCAACCACATGGCCACACCCACGCCCGGCCACGTGCACGCACCGTGGTGCAGGCAGATGGGGTCGCGCACACAGCAGCACGCCACCACCGCCAGGTGGCACAGGCGGCAGCACAGCGAGCATGGCAGCGCCGCTGACAGCCCCGGCAGCACCGCCACCACGGCGCCTCGCTGCTGCATCCACGCCTGGATGCGCCCCTCCTCGCCCACCAGCCGCACCAACTGCTCCACCGCGCTGCGCCCCACGTGGCCCATGGTGGCCAGGCGAGGTGGGGTGACCTGAATGGCATCGATGGCGTCTGTAGAGTCCACGGGGTCAACCAAGTCAGTGGGGTCAATGGGGTCAACAGGGTCAGTGGGGCTAGAGGGGTGCATGGGGTCAGTGTTGCCAGTGGAGGGGTGCATGGGGTCAGTGTTGCCAGTGGAGGGGTGCATGGGGTCAGTGTTGCCAGTGGAGGGAGGCAGGTCAACGGGGTCAACAGCGCCACCATGAGTATCGCTGCGCCTGCGCTCCTCACTGCGTCCTATCTGTGTGCCACTGCCATTGCTGCTTGCCACGCCACCAGGCGCTGCTGCCGCTGTACATGGAGGCAAGTCAACGCGGTCAACACGATCAGCAGGGGGCCCCGGGCCGCTCTCCTTGCAGGGCGAGAACACCACCACTGCATGCCGTGCCGCCTTCTCTGCGCTCTGCCCTCTCAACCCATCGTGCACCTCCTCTCCCGCCCTCCCTAGTGTCCTGGCGGCACTCCCGCCCTCCTCCACCCTCTCCTGCATTTTTCCCACTTGCTCCTCATCCGCCCTCTCGCCCCTCTCCCCCATCTTTCCCCCCTCGCTCCTGAGCAGCGCCACCACGTGGCGGCACAGCAGCTCCTCCCAGCACAGCAGCGGCGCGCGGCGCAGCACGGCGTAGCGCCGGGCGGCAGCAGCAGCGAACGGAAACCAGTCGGGCAGCGCCACGTTGACCGCCTCGCCGCAGTTGAAGCCTGCAGGGGAGGGAGGGGAGGGGGGGAGGCAGGGGGCGGACAGAGGGGGACACGGAAGAGCAGAGAGGGACACGGAAGAGCAGAGGGGGACACGGAAGAGCAGAGAGGGACACGGAAGAGCAGAGGGGAACACGGAAGAGCAGAGGGGAACACGGAAGAGCAGAGGGGGGCACGGAAGAGCAGAGGGGGACACGGAAGAGCAGAGGGGGACACGGAAGAGCAGAGGGGGACACGGAAGAGCAGAGGGGGACACGGAAGAGCAGAGGGGGACACGGAAGAGCAGAGGGGGACACGGAAGAGCAGAGGGGGACGTGAGTGCATGCATGTGTGAGACTGTGTACCTTTTGCTAATGCCTTGTGCATCAGCGAGTATTGAATGATTGTGTGAGTGTGAGTAACTGAGTGTGAGAACAGTGAGTGAGCGCATGTGCATGTGTGTATGTGTGCAAGCTTGCATGTATGTTGATCTGTGGGGCGGGGCTACACACGTGTACACCTGCTAATGCATGCCATGCACACACCACAGCGCCGTCTCTCCCCTCACCATGGCTGAACCCAGCATGGTACGACCATCTCACCATGGCTGAACCCAGCATGGTACGACCGCGGGTACGTCACCACGAACTCCCCCGCGGCCTGCACGGCGCGCACCACGGGCACGCCATGGGCCAGCAGCAGGCGGGGCGAGAACATAGTCGTCTTGCCCATCAGCAACGCGCACGCTCGCCCCACCGCCCCACCGCCCCACCGCCCCTGCTCGCCCGCCCCTGCACCACCCGCCCTCTCCACCTCGCCCACCTCACAGCTCCCCGCGCACCTGCCCTCCCCCCCTCCGCCCTCACCCCTCACAGCAGGCGCCCCTCCCCCGGCCGCGCCCCTCCCACCGCGACCCCGCCCTCCCCGCCCCCCTCTCCTGTTCCCCCACCCGCCCCCTCGCCCAGGCGTCCGCAACTGCTCTCCGCAGGTGCCCCCCTGCACACTCCCTCCGCCCCTCACCTCCCCCGCGCCACCACCCTGCACAGCCGCGCCCCTCCATTCCACCCCACCCCCTCCGTGCGCCCTCCCTACCTCCTCCTCGCACTTGACGCCCCCACGTGGGTCCCTGGCCGCGCACCCCCCCTGGGCGTCCCCCTGGCCGTACACGTGGCGCATGGCGACGGCCTCAAAGGCGTGCGCCGCCATGCCCGGCACGCCGTACCACGTCTTGGGCGCGCCCATGTGCTGGTAGTTGATGCTGGCGGCGGGCAGATGGGTGGTGCGGTGCGGTGCGGTGCGGTGTGGGAGGGGCAGAGGGGCAGGTGAGCGAGGCAGGAAGGGGATGACATGTAGCCAGGTGGACGCAATAGCACGGAATGCAATGAGTTGCGCAGGGCTGGCATGCGATGATATGGGATACGGTGGAATGGCATGCGATGATATGGGATACGGTGGGATGGCATGCGATGATATGGGATACGGTGGGATGGCATGCGATGATATGGGATACGGTGGAATGGCATGTGATGATATGGGATACGGTGGAATGGCATGCGATGATATGGGATACGGTGGAATGGCATGCGATGATATGGGATACGGTGGGATGGCATGCGATGATATGGGATACGGTGGGATGGCATGCGATGATATGGGATACGGTGGGATGGCATGCAATGATATGGGATACGGTGGGATGGCATGCGATGATATGGGATACGGTGGAATGGCATGCGATGATATGGGATACGGTGGGATGGCATGCGATGATATGGGATACGGTGGGATGGCATGCGATGATATGGGATACGGTGGCATGGCATGCGATGATATGGGATACGGTGGGATGGCATGCGATGATATGGGATACGGTGGGATGGCATGCGATGATATGGGATACGGTGGAATGGCATGCGATGATATGGGATACGGTGGAATGGCATGCGATGATATGGGATACGGTGGAATGGCATGCGATGATATGGGATACGGTGGGATGGCATGCGATGATATGGGATACAGTGGAATGGCATGCGATGATATGGGATACGGTGGAATGGCATGCGATGATATGGGATACGGTGGGATGGCATGCGATGATATGGGATACGGTGGGATGGCATGCGATGATATGGGATACGGTGGAATGGCATGCGATGATATGGGATACGGTGGAATGGCATGCGATGATATGGGATACGGTGGGATGGCATGCGATGATATGGGATACGGTGGAATGGCATGCGATGATATGGGATACGGTGGGATGGCATGCGATGATATGGGATACGGTGGAATGGCATGCGATGATATGGGATACGGTGGGATGGCATGCGATGATATGGGATACGGTGGGATGGCATGCGATGATATGGGATACCGTGGGATGGCATGCGATGATATGGGATACGGTGGAATGGCATGCGATGATATGGGATACGGTGGGATGGCATGCGATGGTATGGGATACGGTGGGATGGCATGCGATGATATGGGATACGGTGGGATGGCATGCGATGATATGGGATACGGTGGAATGGCATGCGATGATATGGGATACGGTGGGATGGCATGCGATGATATGGGATACGGTGGGATGGCATGCGATGATATGGGATACCGTGGGATGGCATGCGATGATATGGGATACGGTGGAATGGCATGCGATGATATGGGATACGGTGGGATGGCATGCGATGGTATGGGATACGGTGGGATGGCATGCGATGATATGGTATACGGTGGAATGGCATGCGATGATATGGGATACGGTGGGATGGCATGCGATGGTATGGGATACAGTGGGATGGCATGGAAGGAAAAAGAGAGTGGGTCCAGCTCAGCGTGACCCAGGTTAGGGCAACCAGCGGCGCACAAAACACGTGTCACTGCGCTTTGTGTAGCACACCTGTCATGGCAGCCCCTGGCACAGCACGGCAGGCCACGGCCCACAATGGTGCCGGGCGCCATGGGGTGCGCTTACCTGTAGAGGTAGTGGTCCTCAACGTGCCCACCTGTAGAGGTAGTGGTCCTCAACGTGCCAGGCGAAGGTGCTGAAGAGCATCCCCACGTACAGCATGGGCGCTGTCACGCCCTGCCGTGGGGGGAGAGGGGGGAGAGAGGAGGGGTGAGGAGGATGCAGAGAGGCAGGACGGTGCAGGCAGGCAGGCAGGATGAAGGGATGATGGAATGGGGAAAAAGGGGTTGGGTCGGGGGGAGATGCGGGAGGATCTGAAGGAGTTGGGGCGGATGGATGAAGGAGAGAGCGAGTGCAGCGCTGAAGGATTGAAGCTGCACAGGGTGGTTGGATGTGGTTGAGAACGGGCAGGAGGGACAGCAGAGGGCACACGCAGAGGGACGGGTGGGGCGGGAGAGGCAGTGTGGGAGGGCGGGGAAAAGGGGCCGGGGGCGAGGGGGTAGGGGGAGGGGGAGGGGCACTAACCGCAATGTCAACGGGCAGGCGGTGCAGCACAGAGGCGGGCAGCCGGGGGAGCACCTGCAGGGGGGGGAGGCGAGGCGCGGTTGAGGGTGGAAGAGAGAGGAACAGATGGGCCAGAGACAAAAGGAGGAGAGAAGGAGTGCGAACAGTGGCACGGCAAGGGTGCGGTGAAAGGCAGTGGTGAGTGCGGTCAATGCAGGTGAGCGAGAGAGATGAGGGATGAGAGGGGGGCGTGTGGTGGTGGTGGCAGGGGGAGGTGCGCACGTTGAGGTTCCAGCTGGACGAGGCGAGCGGGTCACGCGGGTGGGAGGAGAACCCCGACCCGTCCACATCACTGCCATACTCCACATGCGCCACCCCCCGCCCCCCCCGCGCCCCTGCGCCCCCACCTCCCCCCTCCGCCCCCCGCCCTCCGCCCTTGCTCCTATCTGTGTGCCCCCCTGCCTCCCTGGCGCCGCCCTCCATCTCCTGCCAGTACAGCTGCTCCACCATGCCAGCTGGCAGCGCTGCTGATGTGGCGAATCGTGTGGCCAGGAAGCGATCGGCCTTGCGCTCAAATTCGGGGAGAGAGTAGGTTCTGTTGGAACGAGGAGCGGTGATGGGCGGGCGAGTGGGGAGGATGAGGGCAAGAGAAGCAAGGGTGGGGAGGTAATGGGGGTGATGAGACGCGGACAGGAGGAACGCGAGAGAAGGGAGAGGATTGTGGCAGAGCGAGAGGTCAAGAGGGCGTGGGCTGGGCAGGGATATGGGAGGAAAAGGCAGGGTGGGCGACGCCAGGAGAAAGGGGTTGTACCTGACTTCATACCTGAAACAAGCTCTACTTATCACTCCGCCCCTTATGTTCTGGGATGCCACGTCACCCTGCGAGGGCAGCGAGAAATGGATCACCATGGGGGGCTCACCATGGGGGGATCACCATGGGGGGATCACCATGGGGGGATCACCATGGGGGGATCACCATGGGGGGCTCACCATGGGGGGCTCACCATGAGGGGCTCACCTGCCGCTCATGCGGAAGGCGGGGGGGTCGCCATGCGCACACGTCGCCACGCGCACGGGCTGCTCGCGCGTGGTGAAGCGGAAGGGGCGCTTCTGCCCGCGCTGCAGCACGTGCCCCGCGGGCACCGTGGGCAGCACGGGCGGCACGATCTTGCAGATGCCTGCACGGGGGGTGGTGGGGGACAAGAGGGGCGCGGGGCGACAAGGGGAGGGAGAGGCGCGCCATTAGTCTTTACGGGTGGAACGGTGACCTGCGTCTTGCCCGCTGAATTGCCTGCCACGCGTGCGCGCGGAGGCATTCTCCCGCATGCGCGCAGGGGGCGTGTGCGCGCTGCAGCGCAGCCTTGCTTGCCTGGACGCCCGTGCTGGTGGGCGGAACGGGAAGGGGGAAGTGACGGTGGCGAACGCGTGCGCGTTAGTGGCGCGTGCGAAACGAGGGTGGCTGTGGGTATGGGCTGGGGTGTTGGATGGATGAGGGGAGAGGGATGAAGCGGGGGAGAGGGTCGACGGGCAGTGAGTACAATGCGAGGACGAGAGGCGGAGCGGAAAGGACGAAGGGAGGCAGAAAGGGCCCCTCAAGGTAACAGGTGGAGACGGTGCGACGGGGCGGAACTGGGAGACGCGCGGTGTGGAGCAGCGAGGCCGTCGCTGCGGCAGGTCGAAGCGCGTCGACGAGAGGGCGAGTTTCTCACGCGAGAAGCGAGGGGCGGAAAGGGGGAAGAGGAGGGCGTGGGCAGAGGGGGGGCTGAGTGAGCGGAGTTCGCGGGGAGCAGGGAGGGCGTCCTCGCATGGAGTGACGGAGCCACGACCATGCGACACAGGCCAGCGGACTCGGCGTGCCCTGACTGCCGTGACCTCGCGCCCACCAATCCGTCTCAAGGGCCCCGCGCCTCTGCCCCGCCAAATCGCCGCCTCTACCACCCCCGCGCCTTGCTCTCCCGCTCCGCCGCCGGCTCGCCGCTGAGAGCGGCGGCGCGAGATGAGCGCGATCATCAACGGCGCAGGGCGTCGAATCCCGCGGTTGGCGTCGTCGGCCCGCGGCAGTCACGGGCGGCGAACCACGCACGCATCGGGGGTGGGTCCATCCCAGTCCGATGTTTCGGCCCAGCGGTCACGACAGGCGCGGTGCGCATGCATGACCGGCTCGCCGGCCCGCTCTCGCGGTCGGGTGCGTCGCTATTGAATTCCCGTGACGCCGAATGGACGGAAGGCACTTTGAGGTCTCGTCGAACCCAACCCACCCTGCGCGATGACCCACCGGGCAGCACCCGTTAGTGGCAATTAAAGGGACCGACAGCGCCCACCCACCGTGCAGGGAGGCCACCCACCGTGCAGGGAGGCCACCCACCGTGCAGTGAGGCCACCCACCGTGCAGGGAGGCCTCGGGACGAATCTTCTCGATGTACGCGAGCGGATCGCGAAACTCGTCCTCCGTCGGGTAGTACACGGGGCACTCGGGGATTCGCCGAATCCAATCGTGGTCGCCCATCCCGTCGCAACGCCTCTAGCGAAAGCTAACGAGCAGTGTTTCGCACATGCGGCGGTCAGATGGTGATGGTTGTGCGCTCTATTGGCACGTGCTGAGGATTGTTCTACCCGCGTAGCGTGGTAATCGCGGCTCGTTCACGGTTCTCGCGGCCAATGACCTCGCCGTCCGCGAGCAGCGATGAAGCTCAAAAGACGTAGCTTAATCGCAGCGAGTGCTGGCGAGTAGCTAAGGGTGTGGCTTGAAAGTGTCGCTGTTGCTACGCTGAACGCTCCTCGGGCTCGAACGGAGTAGCGGATGACACTCAAAGCTGCAGCTTGTGCTTCTACATCGACCATGTCGCGCATCGTGTGCGTCGTCTCACCTCATCGTCTTGCTTTCCAAATCTAACGCTCTTGCTGCCAGGCCTGGCCTGGCGGCCGACGGGAGGGTGCAGTGGAGCAAGCTGGGTGGGAGGGAGACATCCCCAGCAAGCAGCCCCCACCACTCGATTGTCTCAACTCCGCGACACCACACGACCTCCTTCATGCTACTATCCATTCAATTCCGAAGCTGGAAAGCTGATGGCTCGGCCGCAGGTTAATTCGAACCACTCGGTTAGGAAATTCTCTGGTTGTTGATTGCTCCTGCGCCGCGTTTGGTTCTCACCACGCCAGCGCGGTCTGTCGTGTTCTGGCTGGACGGTCCGAGTCAGCTCATTTGGTCCGATCAACCAGGCACCAATCTGGTCGAGAAATGATGCCGTGCCAACCAAAGGTAAGGCCGAACCTGTCTGACCTCACCTTCTGGGCAAATCGCCTTCCAGCAAAACTGTTGGCGAGAAAATTGCCAAACTCCACACCTTTGTGACGAAGATTTGGGTTTGGTTTGGCCCGGCCATTGGCTGGTCTGGGCAACCTGGGGGGCTCGACCTGGCTCGAAGCTTAAGCTGGGCCAAACAAAATCTCGGTCACATCGCATCTAACCGCATTCGTCCATTCATCATCACGTGTTCTCTGACGACCTTCGCGACGAGGAAATTGCACCAGTCCGACAACACAACCTCTGTGCGATGGAACAGTACAGTGTAATGGTTGTCCAAGCTCTTGTTACGCTCGTCAGCGGGAGTCACGGGACTTCGCTTTTGTCGGCTACGGGCTGGCCTGATTAACTTTGGGGGAATCGAAGAAAGTCAACGAGGGCCAGCCAACACATTACACCTGAGTTCTTGTTATTACACGCCCTTCACGTTACAGAAACAATCGACGAAGAATCTCACACAATTACTGACACTGAACTTCCGGTTCCAGTGGTTATTCCATTAATGCTACACCCGTTTCTCCAACGCTGATATTAAAGTGGTTCATATTATTAGGTTCTAAGAAGCATAAGGGTATGTTCAAAATACAGTTTTGCGATTTGCATATTAGGAGCTGACTGAAACCAACATTATGTTCATACAGCGAACATTGGTTAGTCGTTGCAGCTTCTGAAAGTTCCCGAGTTTACATGTTAAATTACTGTCACTTTTGACAATCGTTGTTATATAAAGCAGCGCATTCTTGCCATTACCTTAAAACTATGTTATGAACAAAACTTTGATCGTGCCTAGGATCACCTCCGAAGGTTCGCATCGAGTGTGTTTCAGCGCAAGAAATAACATCAGCCATAATGAATATAAAATGGCTGACATCATTAAAACAAACGCATACATAGGTTTATATAATAGAACAAGAGAAAATGAATCGACCTAATTGCTATGTACTCTAACGATCCATATGCTGCCAACCGTACTCTTTGCATTATTCTGACATTTCGCCTTCGTACTCTTCATTTAATTCTTCATTTGCTACTGATAGGAGTGCACAATACTTCTCAATTTACTATTCGTAACATCCGCTTCACTCTTGATCTTAGCAAGTCTTGACCCACTTGACTACTCCGCTGAGTTCAGATCAGTACTGGTACTACTGACGGAGCAGTCGTTTCGTGAGGAAGTCGGCTGCCATGTCATACGTTGGGCAATAGGTTTGGTCAACCTCGTCCTTGTCAACTTCGTCCTTGACGAAGAAATACCGCAACACGATGTGTTCGGTGCGGTTGACGAATCCTGGTTTGTTTGCGATCTTAATTGCGTTATGATTGTTGCAGTGCAGATGAAAGGTTGGTGAAGTTGGAAATTTTGCCTCCTGCAGGAGCTCTTGTAGATAAAGTCATTCGTGAACTGCTGCTGTCGCGGCGATGAATTCAGCTTTTGCCGATGTCATGACAACACGTTTCTGCTTCTGCGAGTTCAAGTGCGCTGTTGGCTCGAGGCGGAACAGCAACCCGGTTTTGGACCGTCGATTGTCGGGGCCTATAGCATGACCGGCGTCCATGTAGCCAATAAGGTTGAAGGACAGGGTCGTGTTAGTGGAGAAGCAGAGCCCAATGTTAGGCGTGGAGATGAAGAATTGCAGGGCGCGCTGAAGATCTAATAGTTTTCCAGCCGTTGGTTTGCGAGAGTACTGAGTTAGCTGGCTCGCAATGTACGAAAGGTCTGGCCTATAGCTCACTTACGCAAAGAGGAGGCATCCCAACTGCTGCTGGTAAGTCTGAAGGCCTGCGGGGGATTTGGCATTGTTGTCAGGTCCGGGTGTGCGTTAAGGAGTGGAGAGTGGTGTAGGGGAGATATTGAACCGCTTCTCAAGTGTTTCAGCATACTTGGCAGCTGAGAGATGAATGGCTTATAGCGCGTAGGTGATATTAAGGCCCATGAAATGCTTCACACCGTGATAAGTGGTGACGTCGACGCACATCGCCAAGTTCTTCTCGAACTAGTCAAGTAGTGTGTTGCTCGTTCCTGTGTAGAGCAGGTCATCGACATGCACGATGAGCAGGATGTAATCACCGAAAAAATGCAGGATGCCTGGGTCGTGCGGCAGCTGCGTGTAGGATTTTGAGCAGGTGCTGCTGCCAGAGCCGTGGTGCTTGCTTGATCCCGTAAATGGACTTTTTTAGCTGACAGATGCGTGGGTCCCCTTCAAATAAGTATGCGGCTGCTCCACAAAAATCATTGCGTCTACTAACACATAGAGGAACGCATTCTTCACATCATTCTGACGGAGAGGTAAGTGCCTTGCTGCAGTGATGGCAAGCAGAATTTTGACAGAGGTATGACGGCTGACCGGTGCGAAGGTCCGATAGAAATCGATGCCGTGCTTCTGATCCTAACCGCGTATGACCCATCTTGCTTTAAAACGCTCGATCGTCCCATCTGTTGCGGTCTTCACGCGGAAGGCCCACTTCCCTGAGAGCACTCTCCTTCCTTTTATAGCTGCGCAGTCGACGAGCACCCAGGTATCACGTGACTCGAGGGCCTTTATGCGCGCATGGCTTCGCGCAGTTCCTTGTTGTGTGGACCCATCGGCGCCTGTCGTGGATTCTTGGGTTCGATATCGTGCGGAGCTGTGGAGATGGCGGTGTGCAAGCCCAGCAGTTGCAGCCATGAGACGGTGCTGTCTCCAAGATGGCGACAAAGGCTTCAACTTCAGGGGTAGCGTAGACCCAGTTTCCGCGTAGACTGCCCCTGAAAATGCACGTGTACACGGACGGGCCGTCACCTGGCCACGTTCACCCATCGGCCTGGGTCGATTCTGTACACACTGACTACTGAGCCTCCTCAAGTAGTTGCGTCTGCGTCCGCGTCAGGCCAGCTAGCAGCCCCCTGTTTATGTCGCCTTCTGTCGCACCAGACTCTCCTTTGGCACCACCGCCAAGGTCACCCCTCCCTGCCACGCCTCCATGGCATACACTCCCGCCTCCTTGTCACTTGTCTTCCCAGGTCTCTGCCACCCCTCCCACCCTTGCCTGCCCCTCCCTGCCTTCCCTGTGTCGAGGGGCGGCAGCGCGCCGCTCCTCACTCCACCTCGTTTCCCCCGACAACTGCTCCCCTGCAGACTCTCCACATGGACGTGTGGGGCCCAGCCCGCATTCGTGGCCAGGGCCGTGAGTGATCCTTTCTGCTGGTTGTTGACGACTACTCGCGTTACAATACGGTCTCCCCCTTGCTCAGCAAGAGGGAGGTCCCTGATGTATTGATCCCTTCGATCCGCGCTGTCTGTCTCCAGCTCCGCGAGCAGTTTCACACAGACCTTTCGGTCCTGCATCTGCACTCTGACAGAGATGGTGAGTTTGCCTCCGACCTCTTGCGGGACCTTTGTCGTGGGGAGGGCATCCGCCAGTCATTCACGCTTCCGGCCTCTCTGCAGCAGAATGGGGTTGCTGAGCGCCGCATTGGCTTAGTCATGGAGGTTGCTCGTACCTCCATGATCCATGTGGCTACTCCCCATTTTCCATGGCCGTTTGCGGTTCGGTACGCTGCGCATCAGCTCAACCTCTGGCCCCGTGTCTCCTTGCCGGAGACCTCGCCTACATTGCGTTGGACAGGGGAGGTTGGCGATGCATCGGTGTTCCGGGTCTGGGGCTCTCGTGCCTTTGTCCGCGATACTTCCGCGGACAAGCTCTCCTCCGACGCCATTCCTTGCGT